TTCTGTATGCCTAAAACATGTACATACATATGTGTGTGCGCACATGCAAGGGCACATGGCAGTGTAGATTTTGAAGAATGCAGCGGCACGGCATCGGGAGCAAGCCGCACGCTTTGGACTGCAGGAGAAAAAACCCTGTTGAACACATGTCATGATTCCAAGAGACGGAACTCATGCGGTCAACATAACCTGCATGCTTGGTTGGTTGCTTGCATTCCTGCTTGGCTTGTGGATGGATATTGGTTGTGCAGAGATGGGTAGCGAATGGCTTCAGGGGTGGAGGGATGCACGGATGGATGAGATGATATTCGCGTCGCGGCGCTTACTGCTTACTGCATCCTAGTTTCAAGAATCAGCTGATGTTCTTGAGATGTGCCGCAGCTTCAGGGATGCCCGGCATGGGTTGCAGAGAAAGTTCGAATTTGTCGCGACGCCTTCGACTCTGAAGCGCACTGTCTGTCTCGGAATGCGTGCTCAGCAACTTCCTGCTTCTGTTGCGGGAGCACCTCATGCATGTTGAGCCTTTGCCATGTAATGGATGTGGGAAGGGTGAATCCATGCGAGGACATCATGGCGATGTCCGGGTTCCAAGCTATGTTATGCTCTACTTCGGAGCACTGCTCGATGCTGTCGGTGAGCCCTTGACCTGTCACCATCAGGGCCACAAAGTTTCTTGCCCAGCAGTCAAGTTGCCGAGGCTTAGCCGGCTCACAAAAAACGTCATGCATCTCGGGAGCATTGAGTGCTGGGCTAGTCTGGGCCATGCGTTTTCGCCGGTGCCGATCTAGCAAGGGACATGTGCTGAAGCATGCCAAGGAATGTTGTTTCCAGCACGAACAACCACGTCGTGGCCTTGGGCGAACCTGTGCAGCCACATCGTGTCGTGAGGGATCTCATCTATCAGAGTTGGTAGCTTTGATGTCAAGATCCTGGCGCACGGATGCGAACCCAGTTTTACACATTCAGCTTTCTTTCGAAGATTGTGTGCCTGCTGAGCCGTCGTGCGCCAGCCGACCGTACGGCAAGGGGGGCAATGCTGAAGTGACAGCGCATGTCTCTGCTTGGTCGAATGCGCGGCAAAGTGTAGTGACCTCCAAGCGAGCCGTGGCTTTCTGGTCGGCATCTTTTGCTAGATGGTGCAAGTCCTTTTGGACATGCTCTGAAAGTTTCAACCCAGGCCATCTAGCATACGCCACCCTTGCAAGGTCAAGTTTCAGCGCGTCTTTGAGGCGATCTCTGCAACCGTGACAGACCGTTGGATGCGAATGGGTGTCCACTTGCTCTCAATCTGGGTATCTCTGCCTGGCCGTTCAAAGAAGAGTGCTGCAAATTGGCTCGAGCCTCGCAAGAAGGGCAGGCAACATAGAACACCAAAGGATATCTGTCATTCTCACTTCTGAAAGGTAGTGTCTCATCGTTGCACATAGCTCCTTGGGCCGCGTTGGCGCCGCGAGGCCGGCGGAGAGAGCCCCAGGATCATGGACACCAGAATCCCTTAAAAGTACTTAGTATCTAGATTATTGTGCAAAGATCCCCCTCGCACGTTGTACTTCGGGCGCAAGTGCATGGATCTCGATAGTGAGCCATCCTCGTCTGGCAGAGTCCGAGTTGCGAGGGCGTAACATGTTCGGAGATATTACTTCACTTGCCGCCGCTTGCTGCCACCAAAAATGTCACAGGGCTTATCAGACTTGTCGGGCACGGTTCGAAATTCTGCATGTGGGGAAAGGGTGGGGGTCGTCGGCTTCTAAACAAGGCCGACTTGAACATTGAACTTCCCGAGTTGCGCCGAGGGTGTGGCCGACATAGACAATGGGAGCTTCTCAGTCAAGTTGGGCGGTGCCCTCAGGTGAAACCCTCGCAACTGCGCTGCGCTTGTTTCCTTCCTTTTCCCAGCCCTCGATGTTCATTGCTCTGTGAGGGAATTCTGGCCCGAACCGCCCGGGTCCTACGGAGAGTGGCCAGCTGGAGTGATGCCGTCTAAAGTTTTAACGAAACTTCGCCCGAGCTTTCCTGTGCTGGCAGGCCGACCCCGAGAGCGAGCGTCAACAGCGTCCACCTCACGAGTTACTCGGCAGATTTTCCGAGCTGTTCCGTTGCAGATCTGCACTCGGCTGTGACCTGCTAAGGTTGCCGAATGGTGCTGTCTATGAAGGCATTGCAGTTCATGTCGCGCTCCTGCCAACTGAAGCTGTGCTTCACAACGACTGTTTTGCCAGGTCAGTGGGTTGGACCAGCAAGAGAAGGGTATGGGGCGCGAGCACACAGATTTCTGTGAGTGAAGCTGCATGACCAGTCGCGGAAAGCATTTCACCTTGGAAGCGGTTAAACAATTGATTCAGGCCTCCTGCCATCATCCGTACTTGTACCGCGTTTGTTCAGTATCACCCCGTGCAGACCTACGACACACTACAAATAATAGGCCGAGGTTTTTCATGCAATTTCGTGTTTGCTTCACTGTCAATTTTCGCTGAGATACAAAAATGGCCCGATGGAGCTTCATACACCGGGCAGTGGGTGAAGGAGAGTCGCAACAGTTGAATGCACACGAAGGCAAACTTCGCGTTGACTTGGCAGGACAAAGCTCAGGGCATGGGGAAGTTTCACCATGCTGCAGGAGATTGGCACGCCCGGCCAGGATAAGAAAGCTGGAGCCTCCTGAAAGAGTGTGTGTTTTGCCAGGTACGAGGGCAACTTTCTCGATGACATGCAGCACGGCTACGGCGTTGCCATGTATGCCGCTGACCAAACAGAGTCGGATCCCAGATGTAGTGGATTGATCTGTCTTCTCTAAGATCGATGGCTCCAAGTACACCGGGCAGTTTGCGTGCGACAAGCATCACGGAGAGGGAGTGGAGGCCCGGCCTCGCCTGCCTCGCCTGCCTTCGCATGGCTCCCAGGGGGAGCAGACAGGTATGGCCAGACGGAAGCCGCTTCCAGGGCAGCTATTTCCAAGGCATGAAGCACGGCAACTGCCCCGGCTGATTCTCTGACTGTCAGATGCTGCAACTTCCCTTCTGCTAGGGCTTGCCCATGATTAGTGGATCAGTCCATGCACAACCAGCAGAAAATAGAAGAAACTTTCACGGAGAGACCCAGGTCACGGTTTGTACCTGTCGGCATCTAAGGGATGGCATGCTTGTACACTTGTTGCGGAGACAAGCTTGCACATGCCGCGGTTCACGCAGCAGCAAGGTGGCCAGATGGCTCGAAGTACGACGGTACTTTTGAGTCCAACAACATGTCGCAGACTTGGAGAGTGTGATCGGCAGAAAGCACTTGCAATCCATCGGAATGGAATAGACTTCATGCGTGGTGTCAGGAGCGGCACTGGAACGTACAACTGGTCTGATGGGCGCGCTTATACTGGTCAGTCCTCGGCTCAGAACGTTGGAGCGCCTGGCCCCTGACAGCTCAGGGGGTGAGACCTCAACAGTTCCCGTGCTAAGGTGGGAGAGGAACACAATGCACGGCTTCAGACTGAGAAAGCTGCAAGTCCTATCCGGCCATATCATATCCAAGCTTAGCAGTCAGACAGCGCATGTAATCGCCAGCAAGACGAGTCAGTTCATGCACACGTGCTCAGGCAAGGGGTCGTTCAGCTATGGCGATGGTCGCAGCTACGAAGGCAAGGGGCGCTTGTTGGGAGTCGCTGGAAACGTCACGACTGTTGAATGTGCAACCTGTCGTGCATGCGCTGGGTTAGCACAGGCGACTTCTTCGAGGATGTCAAGCACGGCGCGGCTCTTTGCAGTCGGTCATGGCGGAGTGGGCAGTCTAATATGGCGATGGTGCGGATGTTGCTATGCCTTGTCGTGCCGCTGAGCGACTGTTCAAGGCACCGGTGTGTTCCGCTGGCCAGATGGAAGGACCCTACGAGCCCAGCTGTCACTGCAGCCCTTGCATTGCCGGAAGCCCCGGATCCTCACCATGAGCAGCAGGAGCTACAACGGCGAATGGCGGAACGGAAAGCGTCATGGCCGTGGCAGGTGTGCCCGCGAACAGGCTCTCAAGGCTGCGCGCGCATCCTGAGATCATGACACATGCAGGTATACGGCAGCCAGCCACAGGACAAAGACTGGCTTGTTTGAGGCCTGACTGCCGCAGTTGAGGCATGCTGTGAGTGTCGAGTCAAGTCGACCAAGTACGGGGTGTTGCAGGACGGGAACCTGGTCAAGTGGGAGGACTGAAGTTCGTGCAGATCTGCCAGGCACGTTTTTTTAAATTAGTGGCGGCTACACGGGCTTGGTAAGCCAACTGGCAGGTGAAACGTACTTATGGTGTTGCGACGGGCCACCAATTTCTAGACAACCCCTCATGCAGCATCGTGCCACTTGTGCAGGTGTGCCCCTGAGATGTGAATATTCAGGTAGCCGAGCAGTTTTGCGGCTGCTTTGCTGCAGCTGCATAAGTTTCACTGACTGAGAAGTCAAACTCTTCATGGCCGTTTAGCAATCCAGCCGTGCTTTCGATGGGCCTCAACGTCGCTTCTCAGCCGTTGATGATTTGGCAAAGGCCTACTTGCAGGGTGAGGTGTTTCGGCCGGGCAAATTCATCGCAGGATACCTGTTTCACTGGGCCTGCTGTCTTATGTGTAAGTAAATACAGACATGAATAAGTACATAAATAGGTAAATACTTGGATATACATATGTGTTTTATATAAACGTACATACATATCCATATGTATATGTATATGTATTTATATATATATATATATATACACGTGTGTGTGTGCAGATGTGCCCATGCGTACAAAAAGCAGTAGTTGTGCAAAGTAATGCCCGGTAGTCTCGATGAAGCTGCTGGACACTACCTTGACCCAAAGAAGATGTCAAGCATCGTCATTGCGGTCGCTAGATGTTGTGAGAAAGGCTGCTGCGCGCAATGATTCGGCGGGGTAGCCGGAATGTCGTGTTGCTACTAGCAGCAGCGACAGCGCTACGTATCGTTTGTCCGTTTGTCCGCCCTATGTTCTGGGTGATTCTGCTGCTTCAGGCAATGCGGCAGGCTTTCCGAGAAACCAGCCGACCGGCAGTGCAGTCCTGGCTGCTTGCTTAGCAGTTTCTCTGGATTTCTAATCTGGCTTTAATCAAACGAGATGTAAGGCACCTGGGCTAAAACGTACTAGGCTGGAAAGAAGGATTGGGTTGGCCAGCTTCGACAGATCGTGCGCCTTCATGTACGAATTGTCGAACCGAGCAGTGCCCTTGCAGACCTGCACCGGGTGCAGGTACTACTACACTGTAGACACAAAGCAGAAGATGTTCTACTCGGCGATCACGGCTGACCTAGAGGTGCTCCGAATTGAGAATGTCTGTAAATTTTTCCGGAGCGGGAATCAATACGCGAGGCAGTTCGATTGAGAGAGGCTGGCTTCGATGATGTGAGGCCGTTGTCAAAACCAGCAAGGACTTGATTTCAAAAGACTCGCTGGTGCACCAGGATACGAATTTGCAACATAATCAACTTTTTCGATATCAAGACCAAGCCAGGGCCTTGGCAAGCTGGTGTTGTGAGCGATGTCACATGTTGGCAATGAACAAAGCAAGGCCAAAGGCTGCTCGGATCAATGCTGCGGTCATCCGCCTCCTTGAGCGCCTAGGACTCAGACACCTGAATGAAAAACCTTTTTCGCGGGCCCCGCACCTTTCTGTTTTTGATAGCGGGCATGAGGTTGCTGAGGGGTGCGCTCTGAGTTCCAATCATGTTTTTATCCACATGCCTCCGAATCACAAGTCCATTCCTGCAAAGGGTTTGGGTCTCACCCAGGGTTTGGTCACACACAGCATTACGAGTTTAGGCACTCTTCTGCTGGTTTTTTGGCTTGAGGCGGAGATGTGTGGGGCGCGCAGTTGCTGCTCAGTCGCGGGGTGGCCGTTAACTTAGACAGATAGCAAGCTGATTGGTGTTGACCGATAGTTTCTGTGTGCCCTGTTCAAGTTCCTGGTCAGGCGCTGGCTTTCAAGAAGCCGCTTTCGTCCATGCGGGTAGGCTTGGCTTCTGCGATGTCTGCTGTGCTGCTTCTGCACCTGAAGCAGTCGCAGAAGTTGTTCCAGCAGAGGCAGTAGCATTTTCGACGCGTCTTCGGAGCACAAGCTCTATGGACAGGCGCGATCGCGAGTTGAGGTTGCAGCACAGGCAGTGGATGCATTTGCGATTTTTTCATGGCATGCTCAAGTGTGTCGCGCTGCAGAATTTGTGACGGGTTGATCGTCTTGCCGGCTGCTTGCTTATGGGATGGCCGATGAGCTGACATTTGACCCGGAGGCAATACTTCGTCCAAAGCTGCTTCGCCGCATGTGCGCGTATCGTTAGGTCTGAGTCCAAGTCTCCGTTTGAGGCCTGTTCAACCCAAGGTTTGCAGTTTTGCGGCAACGCCCAAAGTTGGCAACGGCATTGATCCCGATATGCAGTCAAGCAACACAAGATCCAGGTGGAAATGCTTTGCAATCTTTTTCAGATTCTTTCGAAGACCAACTGTAGGCCTGTAGACGTCGCCCAACCTATTTCACTCGGCACCAGTCAAGGGTATGTCTTGCGTGTACTGCGGCGTGGTCGAGTTCAGCTGAACATATTTCACCACAACGCAGCTATCTCATGCCCCTCGGTCTATTTCGAGCCTTTATGTGGAACAGCTATCGCCAAAACTCGCCTTTGCTACTTGCCGTTGTCAGAGCTTTCGTATCTTGGCGCAGTCCAGCAGCGATTCTGAGGCTGCCGGCTTTGGCAATGGAAGCAGGCAGCTGACATGCTTCTCGGACAGCCGTTTACATGCTGACTTCTTGCCTCAGTCTTTCCGTCAGCGTCAGTGACTCCAAAGCTGGGCAAGCAGCCGCAGCGGCCGCCATCAAAAGTGAAGATGCTACATACGTTTCTCTGGCTCTAGTTTTGTTTTCCAGGTGTATGTAGTCGCAAAGAAGGCCAGCTTAGAGAAACTTATCAAAGAAGTGTGCGTGTATGTAGGCAGGACGATGTTCAGGTATTGGGAGGATGCTTGGCATTTCCGAGCCGGATGGTGTTCAACTTGCTGGTGATGCCACTTGAGCTGTCCCATCAAAGTCACTGACTAAGGTTTCTTTCCACAACACTCCACATGGCCGACCCAAACACGGTTACCTACAACACAATGCTGAGTGCCCTTGACGTTGCTGGCAAGTGGTCCCTGGCTGCTGCTGTTGCTTCCAGTGCAGCGATTGCCCTCGATGTTGTCAGCTCTAACACAGCTTCCCGCCTCACACTGCACATGACTTCAGCTTTGTCGAGCTGGCGTTCAGCATTAGGTCTGGTTCAACTGTCAGCTTGCTGATCTGAGGTTCTCTCTGCACTGTCTCGAAGAGCCTTATGGGCAGCAGCTACTTGCTGGCTTTGCAGCATGCGTGTTCTGGCCTAAACTCTGCCCGCTCGCTGCGGCCACGCGGGACATGTCAAAGTGTAATGTGTGGTTAGTCTTGTTCGACGACCCATAGGCATCCGACGTGAACCCAAAGACAGCATCTCTTTCAACTCCACATTGACCGCCTGGGGACGGCGAGGATGCTTCCGCCAGCAGACATGTCGAAAGCATGCTAAGCACAAATCGTGTGATGTCGTCACAAACTCTGTGCATCCTGTCAGTCACGAACCGGGTGTCGTGCACTCTAAAGAGCCTGTAAGGCTCACTCATCTCGGAGCCTGCAGGACTCTGGACAAAGGCGCTATCCTTGTTTGCAGAGCTCAGACGAACGCCCCTGCAAGCTCATGCGGTTACTGAAGGAGGTGCCCTCGAAGTAATTTCGATTTCTTGTCTCGACCCTGTGCTTACATTGGTGGCGTTGTGCCAATCTCCAAACACACTGTCGTGCACATAGGTCACGTCGCGATGCTGCACGCGATGGAGCAAAAGGGGCAGTGGCAAAGAGCAGCTCTTCGTTTGAACGCCGCCGCCGAAGACGGTGCTTGGTATCGCTTGCCGCTTGTCTCCTTCACGATTTGGGCGACGTGGCCGTCATGCTCGATCCTGAGAGCTCATTTTGTCAGTATGAGACGATCTTTGCTTCATCAGGCGTTCCGTCAGCGCAACCGTCTCTGCGTGCGAGAAGGGGACTGCTTGGCAATTTGCTGCAGCTGTGGTGGGTGACATGACCGGCTCCAAGGGCATCAGGCCAGATGAAGTGTGCATCAGCGCCATGGTAAGTGCCTTGGAAAACTGCAGTCGATGCCTGGCTGCACTTCGAGTAGCTCCGCCTAGGCAGCACCTTCTGTGGAGACTGACACGCCGAAAGTTGCTGCTGTGTACAGCATTTGCAGGGTGGCAGGCTGCATTGGCAGCGGTGTCACTGATGCCCGTCGGTGGCTTGAGCACTGACATGGTCAGCTGCAGCAGCGCAATCAGCGCTTGTGAGAACGCATGTCGCTGGACAGTGGCTGCGGTGCCCTGCATGCAATGCAAGCAACTGGCGGAATGCGTTCTAGTTGCAATGCTGTCTCTCAGTCCACGCGGCAAAAATGGCTGCATCATGCTGCATCGAAAGCCAGTCCTGGCAGACCTCAAAGCAGCAATGTCAGGCACTCCTGCGGTGCCTGGCAAGCTTGAGCTTGCTGCCATCGCCCATCACATTCAACTCCATCACGTTGACATGTGCGCGGGTGGCTCTCTGGCAAGCTTCGCTACACTTACTACGGCTGCTGACGCCTGCTTGCACTCACATGTGCGCGTAATGGTGCCGGATGTCATGATCCGCGTACTGCCTTCGAAGGACTCCGCACAATGCCGACCAGACAAGCTTCAACGCAGCTCTTGCTTCACTTGCCCCCAATGGGAAGTGGCAGCAAGCGGCAGCACTAGTGACCGACATGATGTCACAAGGGGAGTTGCCGGATGAGCTCAGCTGCGACTCTGCTTTTAGTGCATGTGCAAGGGCATCTCAGCCACTTGCCGCAGTCGCTTATTTACGGACTGTGCAGCATTTCGGGGAGAGCCTGTTGCTGAGGGGCGAAAATGGCATCATGACTGTGGCTTCGACAGTTTGTGATGTCACTCTTCCGCCTTTCTGCCCTCCGGAAGGTGGCGCGCTACTTCATTTCAACCGGACGGCACTGGCCTTGGTTGTTCAGCCTAAGCCTTTGTCATGCACGACACTAAGAGCTCAAGGTCCCAACCCCCGGGCAAGACCTAGACCTCGCCTGTGCTCTGCGCATGCGGCGAAAAATTGCTGAACGTTCGGTGTTGCAAGGGGTCCAGAACACCACTTAAACATGCGGATGTGTGACAGTCGGGTCTTGAATCCCTCTCATATACAGCCTTGTACCCCAAAACCGGGATCCTTATGCTTTTTGTTGGGCCTCGTGCAGTCGGACTCCACCCAAACGGCCGCATTCAATCGTGTAATACACCGGCCATTTGTCTGCTTCTTGTCTAATGGTGCGTTAACCCGAAACAATCAAGTCCGAGCACAAGACGAAGCTTTTTTTAGGTCTAAATTGCTCCACAGGGCGGGTCGCTGTGCCCGATCATGTGAGAGGCCGGTGAAGTCCAGGAAAATAGATTTTCCAACACTATCGAATATACGTTCCATGACAAATATGTTGGATGGAGCTAGGAAATTTAAGGTGACATGTCTGCCTACTCAAAGTCGAGCCGAGAAAATTTCATTCCCGTAGATCAAACGGGACTCAAACCGAATCCAGCCGAACGGAACCACGGTTTCTCACCAGCCCGAAGCAACCCGACGACGCGCGAAGCAGCGGAATGCCGGCAACCTGTCAATGATCAGGTCCTGCCGAGCCGCACGAGCAAAAAGCACAGGTTTCGCCGAGTTGTTCTGCACAGTTGCCGACGGTGTCCGCATTTATGGCTCATGCGGCCGCACACAGCAGTCCACCTCGGCGGCCGGGCCTGCCTTGATTCGGCATCGCATGCGTTCTGCATGTCCAGTAGTCTCGTGGTCGTTATGTGCACAGCATAAGTGAAGCATTGGCATCTATGCCTTCCTGTGGTTCAGGGCATGCATCGCTGGGCCAGAGACACGCTGCGGAATCATGCTGCAAGGCTGCAGAGCTCTAGCCTCAGCTAGTCAGGCTAGTCAGCAAGTGACTGGCAAGGCTCCGATGTTGACCCACAGCATCTGAGGCCTGGCGTCCTCGCCAGACTTCACGTTCGCGCCTCATAGCAAAGCCAAGCCGTGGAATCCGCTGTCAAACCGGAGGCACATGCCTGCAGGCTGCGTGGCGGGCGCATCCATTGCAGGTTGCGTGCAGGCAGCCTTTCAATCAGTGTCGATAGAGATATCTCTGTGTGTGTGTGTGAGAATATGATCATTGACATTGCTTAGCTAGCAAGACCGATTTTCGCCATTCCCTGCCACTGCCAGATTTGGCTCGCAGACGGCTGGTGCAGCTAAAGATGCGGTGGGGCGCTTGGCACTTCAATCGTGTTGCAAGGGCAGCTGGTTTTCCGGCTCTTTCCGATGCCAGGCATGGTCGCATCGAGCCTTCCTGACCTTAGCAGGCGACGGGCGGTCCAAGTATTGCCTTCCCTGACATCATGCAAACTTGGCCGAACTGTGCGCATGCTCTCGATGTCAGGTGTGGGACTGGGATCTGCCTTTGCAGTGAACAAGGCCCCGACCATCGCCTCCACTAGCTCTGACAATGATATCCAATGACCATCCCTGAATACTTGGCCATTCTGATAAACTTGGGCAGCATGAGCATGCGGATCACTGCAGGCATGTCGAGCCATAGCAAGTGGTAGAGCCTGGGACGAGCACTGCCACAGACTCGCTCGCCTTTTGCTTTCATGTGCCGCCTTGAAGGAATCGACCACGGCTGGCCACTTAAAGCCCGGTTGTCATAGAATACGGCACGCGGTGTATCACACCTCTATCAGCTTCACACGTGCTTGCAGTTCCTGTGACCCGGTTGTGTCTTTAGCATGAAATGAAACAACACTGGAGCGGTCGCCGGATGCAGAGGCACGCTCGGCAGAGGGAAAGTCGTTCAGACCTCAGCCGCAAGAAGCTGTAATCCATGTCGCTCTCACGTCCAAGTCCCGGACATGATGGGTTCGAGGCAGGCCAGGTAGATGTGTCCTTGGCAGGCAGAGCCTTTGTGTCGTTGGCGAGGTGGACTGCTTTGCTCTGTGTAGCAGATGCATACCCAGAGACCAGGTGTTCGTCCCATCGAGTGCTGCTTGGTGTTGCGTCGCATGTTGGTTCTCGTGCCAGCTTCGTCTTCGTGCGAGCCACATGGCTCACAGGGCCTGGAGGCTGCCGTAGCTGCTGAGTGCAGAAGGGGAGCTGAACATCATAAGCAACATCCGGCGCACTCCGGCTACAATGGCGCTAGCCCATCAGAAATGCTACTTACCCACACGATTAAAAGATCATCACTAGCAGGAGTTTTCCTCGACTTGCAAAAGCCTCCTTCTGCGACTGCCTGGTTTTCCGTTCGATGCATCACGGCGATGGTCGATACTTCCAATGTGAGCAAAGCACACGAGGCACTGTTCGTTCCAAAGTTGAGCCTTTACCTGTGCTGCTTACGCTACGTTGAGAAAGTAACAGGTTTCCGTCCTTTCGCTGGCCAGGAACTGGCAGAAGTGCACGAAGTGGCAAAGTCACTGAAATGCATGACTTCTGTCTTGGCCCGAACCTAAGACCTAGAGTCATCTGACAACGTGCAGCTCCGACCTGACATGCCACCAAGGACAAGCAATTAGGACGTCTTGAAGCCAAATGCGCGCAAAGTCTGAAAGGGATTATCGCAGCCGGCCTGCACCTGGCATCTGAGTGGTGCAAGCTGCAGAAACATGAGTGTCCGCATCGACCTTCCTGTTTCAAAGCCATACCTCCCTGCATCCGAGGAAGACATCAATCGATGTTTGCAGAGGTTGGAAGAGGAGGTCAAACAGGCTCGGAGCGCCACAGTAGCCTCTTGCACAGCAACGCATTCGACAGCTTTTCAAGAGAGCTCATGTCGGCAAAGGCCCTGCTAGGGCACTCGGTGACTCTCAGAACTTGTATTGTTGGTGTTGGTGGCTGTGGCAGCCTCTGCCCCGGTGGATGGACAAAGTCTTGCACCACTTGTCCCCTTCTTAACATTGGCCGTGTAGGCTGCGGGGCCGGATCTGTCCCAGTGGCCGGAATCTTGCACTGCTCAAGCAGTCCCAGCTGCCAGCTGCAATCGTTTGAAGTATGCGGATGCGTGCAAGGATGGTGCAGGATTCCGTCCATCCACCGACGGGCAGAAGCACTTTTGCGTCTCTTGCACTCCTTTCTACCAATGTCATGTCCAGAAACTGAAAACTGACAGTGCGTACCCACCCTTTTGGACCCAGGACACACAGCACAGCAATTTACTTTATCTATAGCCAACGCTACTGCTACAGTCACATTGTCGAAATGCTGGAAAACCAAACATTGTGCTCGACAATAGGAAGCTGACAAAGCCTGCATATTGCTCGAAATCGAGCAAATGTATACATGCTGAAAATGACAGCCAGCGCTCAGTCCACACCACAGTCAACACTACCGTCACCCAAGTTCTTCTCTTGAAACGAGTGAATTGTGCAATTTGCTGATTTTTCCTTGGTTCTGGTGGTGTTGCCTGTAGTGTTGACTGTCATTTTGCCTCCATTTGCGGCACCTTGGGCGTGCAAAGCTTCATCCCAGCAAAGTTAAAGCCGTCGAAGCCACCAAAGCGACTCAGAAGCAATGGCTAATAACTCAGGCTTGTAAGACATACAGGCAACAATCCCCGCCCCCACGGCCGCAAGCGCCAGCGCCAGCACACTTGCCGCAGGGACATGTAGGACAATCTAGGAACAACCGCGACGGCGCCACAACGGCACTTAGTCTTGCATCCACAACAGTCGCTTCGTAGCATGCGCGAGGCCATCTCCGATCGTGATCCGCATTCTCCACCGGATGCTAAAGGTGAGCATCAGATCCCGGGCTGTCAAGCTCCGTGTCGCCCCAACCATGTTCCCGTTGTGGTATGCTTGCTCTGCATCTTCCTTTTCAACCTTAGCTTGGGCTGAGGATCTCTTTGCCGGGAGTAAGGCATCGGAGCGCAGATGCGGATGAGGAATGCGGAGTCGAAATTGCTTTGTGCTGCAATTCAGTGTAGGGATCTGTCAACACAGATGCCGATGATGGAGATCAGGACCACAAGCGATCCTTCGACGATTCAGTGCAAAAAGAAAGGTCTTTGGAGGATGAGCAGGTGATGCTATCAGAAGGCGATACTCCGTCACCAAAGGCCACTTGGCGATGGACGGATATCGGAGTTGGTGGAAGATCTGGCAAATAAGCCGAATGTCAGGGCCACAGGGTTTTTGAACCTTGTCCGCGTACAGTCTAAGGCTGATGATGCGGGAGCGCTTGTACCTTTCAAAACGCCGCGAGAAGTCTGCCTTGTGGATCCAAGCTGGACGAGCAAGCTGGTGTGGGATATTTACGTCATGTGCAGTTCTCAGATCAAGCAGTTCCGACATGGCGACATCATGTTCACTTGGCACTTCGAATTGCAGTATCAACTGCAACTGTTTCCTGCAATGCTGACAGGCTTGTTGTCCTGATGGATGCAATGGTGCTGCCGTTCCAGCTGTCGTTCAAGAATAGTGACTTGTCCTGCTGAAGCGTAGGGCATCGTAGGGCGTAGCTATTGCCATGCCAAGCCACGCGTGGACTGTTCGAGTTGTGAGATTCTAAGAATGAATCCGAAAGCGTTTGAGGAGGTCAAATCGCGTGTAGTGCAATGTAGTGTCGAGTATCGCATCGGTCCGAAACCTGAATTGACGCAAGAAGGCAGGTAGCACAACCCCTTACAGCCCTTAGTCAATGGAAGGCTATGACCCAGATGGATTTGATGACTTTTGGTTTTGGCTCACAACGATGACCTTCAGTGCGGCTACCCTTCTGCAGTTGCGACTTGCATGCCAAACAGGTAAGTGACACTGTCTGCATGCAACATAGCCAAGGATATCCTCGCAAGCTTTAACACGGCCATCCCTCGTGGCGACGATGTTGATGTTGATGACGCCAAGGCAGTGCCAGCCTGCAAGGTCTCGAAAGGGGAGTGTCAGTAGCGACATGCCCTGTAAGGAGACTCTCATTGTCGAGCGCCGGATTATTGCCGTTACATACCTCAGGGGGTGGTTTGTGCTTGATTTCATCAGCACAGTACCCTGGAGCCGGATAGCCACCCGACTTTGCACGAAGAAGTTTGTGTCTGGTAGAGACTTTGCAACCCTGTCGCTCGACGCCGCTTGCTTGCCCATCAGCCGGAACATGCTGGCTGCCCAGGTCGACACCATGGTGGGACCTGGTGGTGGGCCCATGGTCACCGTGGCAAAACTTGCCAAAGTGTGTCTTGGACAGGAAACTAACTGTGCGCGTCAGGGGTATTCGTCCTTCCTTACGCCAGATTTTCGTTTTCTGGCTTGGATTGCGCTTGCGCTCGTCTGGAATTCTGAGGTTGAAATTTATTCGCATAATCCGCTTGATGAAGATGCTTCGTGCGAAGAAGCTGAAAGATATTTGGGAACAGGTGGAGAAGCGAATCGGTTCAGTTGCCATCGTGCAAGGGATGATGCTCATCCGCGTATTGCTGGTAGTCGTTGGCATTTGCCATTGGAATGCATGCCTCTTCTGGATTGTCGGGGCAAGAGAGAGCATCGTCACGGACTTCATGCCTACGCCTGGAGCTGAGCTTTCCACTCTAGCAGTCTTCATGCCTCGTTGCTTTTTGAATGATAGTTGGGTTTTTGTCGGAGGACCTTGAAAGATCAGTTCGATCGAATGCCACATTGGACGACCATCTCCAGGATTTGCTGACCGCATGCCTAGCATGCAGCGTGGAGTGGCATGTGCTGAGCGCCGGATGCGACAGGAGCGATGCCCCAGATCTGGACCCATGGACTTATGAAAGAAAGCCCATGCCCGGACCCCGGCGTGGACGGCACTTACCAATATGTGATACATGCAGTAGAATATATGATTAGCTGAATTGTTTGCAT